AAGAGTGCTTTGTTGTACTTTTTAAATTGTCAGGACTTTGATAGGCTGACCTTACAATGTGTAGGCATGTGGCATTGTTAGTTTTATTGGGAGGAAACATTCCTCAAGCTATTTTCCTTAGCGTAATTATAATGAAGTAAGCCAGAAAGTCAAACTCTTGAGTGTGCACAGATTTATTAGAATGTAACGTCAGGATTTCAGAAATGTGCTATGGTGGGGTGTGTTTTGGTGTGTGTGTTGTGGTGGTAGTTTTTGTAATGCGGTGGTCTTGATCTTAAAAATTTTCTGTAGTTTCTAATTAAGATTTTTTTTTTAATAAAAATATCAAAATGGACCACTGCAGTGATTTATTTGGTTTGGGTGTCTTTTGTGTTGTTTGGTTTTTTGGTGTTTTTTTTTTTTCTTTTCTGATCTAGACCAAATTAATCTTAATTCCATCCTGTAAAATGGAATCACTTTCAGCTGGTCCCATTCAGTTACTTGTGTAACATTCAAATAGCACTCAGCTATCTTTGCTACTATTGAGATGATCTTGGCTGTCGCTTTGTATGTTCTTCCTCTTGTTAGACTATTAGACATTGAGGGATTAATATCTTGCCTTTTTCCCCTCCCTTCCTCCATCCCTATTTGGACTCTAAATTCTTCCCTTTTTCATGGACTTTTCTGGGGATATAGTTTTGGTTTTGCAGGTATATCCCTCTCCCTGGAGTGTTCTTGAAAAGTTCCTGTATTTAGTGCCTTTCTACAGAAGAGTTACTTTTTTAGCCTGTTAAAACTTTCTTTATTACTGGCATATAGTAAAAATAACACCCAAGTAGAAAAAAAGGTTTATCTGGTATTCACTTCAGTACGATAAAAAGCCAAAAAGCTGGTGCCTCTGCTTTACCCTCCCACCATTTCAGAAAATATTTTTTAGTCAGGTGTTTTTTCCCCGCTTATTTTTTTGTTTTATGAATAATGCTATATGATAGCTAAATTAGTGACAGTTTACATAACATGGTCTGTATCTCTGAGATCTTCCTGCTTTGAAATCTGAATTGAATAGAGCCAAGAATAAATGCATAAATTAAAAACTGTCTGAAAAGCAACTTCTAGATCATGAGCTCTGCTGAAAATAGCAGTTGTCAGACATAAAGGAGCTTTCTCACAATCCATCCATGTGCAAGAATTTTCCTTTTTCCAGTCTCACAAGCAGTTAACTTTTTTGTCTAATATTCAGGTCATTTTTTATTTTTGGTGTTTAGGATTTGAAGGACGAGAAAAAAAAGGCTAGAATGGCAGCATCTAGGGCTGTTCTTGAGAAGTGCACCATGATGCTCCTGACTGCTTCAAAGGTGAGTGAATATGCATGCTCCTACACAACTTGGTGTCATGGTTTAATTCCAGCCGGCAACTAAGTACCACACAGCTGCTCGCTCACCTCTCCCCTCGTCTAGTGGAGGAGGAGAATCAGAGGAAAAGAAAAGGAAACTTGCAGGTTGAGATAAGAACAGTTTAATAATGGAATATAAACGAATAAAGCGGTGATACTAATAATATTGACAATACTAATATTAATATTACTACTGATAATATGCAATGAAAATTATACTACCAGTACTACTAATAATATGCAATTAAAATAATGGAAAATAAAATAAATTATACGATTGCTTACTGCCTGCCAGCTGATACACAGCCAGGTTCAAAGTACTGAGAGTCAGAGATCACACGAGAGTCAAAGTGAGCCCCAGCAAGCCAGAGGGAAAACAAGAGCCAACTAACCAACATGGCCCCTGTCCCACCACCAGTGTACATACTAAGCATGATGTTTTAAGGAATGAAATGTTTTTTTGGTCAGTTTGTGTCAGCTGTCCTGGCTATGTCCTCCCCAGCTTCTTGTAGTGAAAAAGCTGGGAATACAGGTGCAGTGTCAGAACCTGAAAAAGTCCTTGACTTGATACAAACACTCCTTAGCAACGACTGAAAATACCAGTTATCAGTGTTCTCCTCGGCACAAACCCAAAACACAGCCTCATAGTCACTACTGTGAAGAAAATTAACTCTCTCCCAGCACACTTGGACAAATCAGAGCGTGGCATCTGGCAGGATAGATCACTCTTCTTTCGCAGCCTTTTTTTTAACTCTTGTTTTTCTTCACTCTTACACCCTCTCAGCTGAAGGGTGTAGGAGTAAAATCTTTGTTCTGTAGAGTTATGCTGTGAGTCCTACTTAACACAGTAGCAGTTTAACAGAAGGAATTTATCGTATTCTCACATGTTGTTTAGACTTGGCTTAGCAGGAAGCATTCATTTTGCTATACTGCATGTGTATTCTTTCATAATACTTACTTTGCTTTCTTTAAAAAGACTTGTCTGAGGCATCCAGACTGTGAATCGGCTCGTATAAACAAAGATGGAGTTTTTCATCGGATGAGATTAGCTTTGGAACAGGTAATAGAAATTGTAACTGACTCTAGACCAAACGGAGAAAATGAAATGGCTCCCATCAGTATATATTCTGGCATCAAAGAATTCAAGGTAAGAATAGAAATAGTATTGCTTCCTACAGCTTAATAAATCACCTCAAAACTAGAATTTTGAATATTTTTTTTTTAAATTCCGAATGATGGAGCTGCATCTTTTCTGCAGTGTAACTTAAATAACTGTCCCAAAATGTTGGATAATCTGACAAGAGCTGGTTATAATTTCACAGAATCACTAAGTTTGGAAAAGCCCTATAAGCTCATCCAGTCCAACCATCAAACAACACTGCCAGACCCACTAGACCATGTCCTCGAGAGCCACGTCTACACGCTCCTTGAACACCCCAGGGATGGTGACCCTACCACTTCCCTGGGCAGCTTGTTCCAATGCCAGACCACTCTTTCAGTGAAGAAGTTTTTCCTAATATCTAATTTAAACCTCCCCTGACACAACTTGGGGCCATTTCCTCTTGTCCTGTCACCAGTTACCTGGGAGAACAGACCAGCATCCGCCTCCCTACAACCTCCTTCCAGACAGTTGTAGAGAGCGATAAGGTCTCCCCTCAGCCTCCTCTTCTCCAGGCTGAACACCCCCAGCTCTCCCAGCCTCTTCTCACAGGACTTGTGCTCCAGACCCTTCCCCAGCTCTGTTGCCTTCTCTGGGCACGCTCCAGCACCTCAGTGTCTTTCTTGCAGTGAGGGGCCCAAAACTGACACCAGGATTCGGAGGTGCAGCCTCACCAGTGCCCTGTACAGGGGACAATCACTTCCCTACTCCTGCTGACCACACTGTTCCTGTCGCAGGCCAGGATGCCATTGGCCTTCTTGGCCACCTGGGCACACTGCTGGCTCATATTTCATTGTCTTGCCAAAACACCTGACACTTGCCGGCTCCTCCTAGATCAGAATCCATTCAGAGCTCTGATGTTTTGTTGAGGTGAAGCCTTGGACGTTGAATTAAGTCAAGTATCAGGATAGCAATCAGAACTTCATTTCAGTAGCTGCTGAAGAATTCTTGCTTCATAATTGATAGTATTTTTGAAACTGCACACACAAATATTAATCCAAACATTTAAGAGTGAGCTTAAGAAATTAATGTCATTCAAAGGTTGTGAATTGAAATTGCAACTCATAGCTCAGTCTATTTTGCCTGACAAAAGCTCTTCTAAATTACATACTCAGTTAAGCACAGTTAATGAACAATCACGTTTCATTTCTTTGGAGTCTGTCACTTATTAAAAAAATTATTATTACTTATTTTTCATGCTGCCCCTTTGAATTTGATTGACATTTTTGTGAAGTGCCTCAAAGTGTTCATTTGCTATATGTAAGTTTTTAGAAAAATACTCAAAATACATTATATGCATGTGGAAAAATTTGTAAAGATCAAACAAAATCTGAATACATAATTAATTTTTGAAACTTACTGAACTTAGAAACCTTACTGTTCTCCTGCTGTCAATAAGTATTTGCTGTTACTTCTTAGGAGTGGTTAGTAATTTGATGATGGTATTATCACATTAAAAAACAAACAAACAAAAAAACCCAAACCAACAACAAAAAAACCCCACCACCAAAGCCTAAACTGGATGTCTGAATAGAAGAAAATTGTGGGATTAATTTGAAAATAAGTGAATAGTAATAAAAAGCACTGAGAGAAAAATAAAATGTGAAACGATGCATCTGCTTTCTACATTTGCATCGTAACTGTATAATCACAAATTCTCAAGAAATTGATACGTTTCTTTTTCAGAATAAGGTGGAGGGTCTTCGTGAGAATCTTTATTTTCTCTCAAAAGAGAATCTTTCAACGATGCTGGAAGTTATCCTGGAACATACAGAGGACTTCACAGACTCTGCCTATACCAGCCATGAGCACAGAGAACACATTTTGGAGCTGTCTAAACAGGCTAAAATGGAACTAGAGCAGCTGGTTTCAGTGTGGATGCAAGCTGTAAGAGCTTTTTAGCAAAGTAAATCTTTTCACCTCTACTTTGGAAAGAAATTTTTAATGCAGTGTTTCTTCAGGTCTAGGAAGAGAGAACTGTGTGTATTCCTCGCAGTGAGAGCTGATCAAGGAAGCCAGAGTTTGTTCTGTGCTTCAGCATCTTCAGTGTGTTCTGTCCTCCCCCTGCTCCAGGGGTATTGCTCTGTTGATTTTTTTCCTATTTTTTTTTTTTTAAATGGCTATATTAGGCTACTAGTGTTGGTAGCCTAATTTTCATGAAGCTGTATTAAGCCTCCCTCTGTTATTTGTGTTACCTTGTTCCTGGAAGAGATATGTGCAAAAGGGGGAGGAAAAGCAGAGGTGGAAAACGCAGTTTTTGTTTCTGATGCTGACTTGCTTTCAGTCTTGTTCCTGGGGAAAGACACAGCACAAAATCTTACCAACACTGAACTATGGCAGATGTGTACTAGCATAAGATACGTACTTCACTGAATGTGTTACTTACGGGAAAGCATTTTTGTTCCTTTTATCTGAAGCTGATGCAGCAGTCAGGTGTTCTTAATGCAGCCGTGCGGTCTGAGGAGCATATGAATCTTACTGATAATACCCTGCTGTTACTACAGATATGACACAAATAGAGTAGTAACTGCATAGAATACCATAGCTGTGATAAACTAATACTGTGTTTATCTTGGTGTTGGAGGTTAGCCCTGGTGGGCAGCCAAGCCCCGCAGAGCCGCTTACTGCCTGCCAGTGGGACGGGGGGAGAATCAGAAGAGTAAAAGTGAGAAAACTCATGGGTTGGGATAAAGACAGTTTAATAGGGAAAGCAAAAGCCATGCATGCAGGCACAGCACAACATGGAATTCATTCACCACTTCCCATCGGCAGGCAGGTATTCAGCCATCTCCAAGAAAGCAGGGATCCATCACATACAGTGGTGACTTGGGAAGACAAATGGCACTACTCCTAACATCACCCCTTCTTTCTACTTCCCCCAGCTTTATATGCTGAGCATGATGTTTTATGGTATGGAATATCCCTTTGGTCAGTTGGAGTCAGCTATCCTGGCTGATAGCTGTGTCCCTTCCCAACTTCTTGTGCACCCCCAGCGTGCTCACTGTGGGACGCTGTTAGAAGCAGAAAGGCCTTGACTCTGTATAAGCACTGCTCAGCAATAGTTAATGTGTTATCAATACTGGTTTTACCACAAACCCAAAACAGCATATACCATGAAGAATATTACCTCTATCCCAGCCAAAACCAGTACACTTGGGCATTTCAGAGCTGTTACTGGTTGAAAGTGATCACCTCTAGATAACTTATGAGCTACACTTCAGGTGATAGAAATAGGAGCCTAGTACAAGATTATGCATATAAATGATCCATGAAAATACTTGGGCATGCACGTGTGCTTATGTATTATGTATTTTCGTTAATATAATAATAATAACCCAGCCTAGCTGTGACAGAGATGCAGTAAGCAGATAAATAGCATCAGCTCGCTGAGGTGGCTTTTCAGTTTCCACTCAGCAGCTTTGTTGGATGGTGAATATTTTCTGAGGGACTTAATGTTATTCAAGTGGGATTGCTGATTTAAAAATAAAATAAAATCATGCACTGGGAATACATGACCACATTAAAGCTATTGGGATGCCCAGTTGTCTTGCTTGCCTCTCACCATACTTCCTTTTAGCAAGCAGAATAACTGTGTCTTCAGTGAAAAGTGTATTTTAAAACAGAAGTGTCTTGTAACCTCAGCCAAGTCTAAATTAGGCTGACATAACCGATCTGTTCTTGTTCGTATGATTGTGTGTGAGTGAAAACTAGCTGGAGCACCACAGATAATCTAGTCCTGTTGACTGAATTTTTACATGTTTCTGAAATCCTTCCTGTGTTATGTTCAAGATCATGAGATCACAAACTGCCATGGTGTTTTAGGTTTACCTGTAATCTTATTTTGGATAGAAAATTCCTTCACTTGTATCTAGAAAAAACAAAAGGTGAGGGGAGGAAAAATGTTCAAATTAAGTGAAAGAATAAAAACACTCCAGTGAGTGTAAAATATTATCCTCCTGGTGTTAAAAATGTTTTTTGTGATGTTACAATTATGCACAATTTACTTAAAGCATTAGATTTGAGGGACAGGTAGCTTTGAGACTTGGAACAGATAAGAATACCGGAGAAAATTATCATATTTGCTTGGGTGGGTGCTCTTCCTTTTAATAAAACGGAGGGGAGAGTCTGTCTATACCCACACATATATATGTGTGTCTGTTAATTTAGACTCTGCTAATGTTTTTGCAGCTATGGCCATGTTAATGCTCCCACCTAGGATAATTGTTTCCAGTGTATTTCGGAAGAGAATGCAAAATCACGTAATACTTTTCCCAATGCGTATCTCCTCACATTTGGGTTGTTCCATAGATAAGTGCTATTTGCAGAAGTGGGAGCTCTGTCTTGAGGCTAGCTCAACGGAGTGTTGCTGTCTACTGTACTTGTTTAAATTAGGTAAAGATCTCAAATCTTAACAAGCATGCTTTAAGGAACCTTTTTGTAATTCAATATAGAACATTTGGTATAATCTTTTGGGTACAACTTTATTTTAAAAGGGTGTTTATATTAAAAAAAAAGCCTTAAATTTACTCTAAGATGATTAGACATTTTTAAGTTGTAAAGCTTAAGAAAACCCTTTTCCTGGCGAAAAAACCTCACTGGTTCAGAATTATATTCCTGTTGAACTGAAACAGGTGATTAGTTAGCATCACTGGTTTTTTTTTTAGATTTGATTTGGTGATAAATGTTTCTATAAAATACTTTTCAAGTAAAATATACAGAGGATGTGCAGATGAAAACACTGAATCTAGAAGGAAAAGGCTATCTTATAAAGCAACTTGCAGTAATGCCACATGATGTGAAAGGGGGATTTTCTGGGGTTCTGTATAACATTTTGTCGGTTGCTTTTTGGCTTGTAGCAAAACCAGAAGACAAAGGATCTCATGGAGGACTTGGAAGTAGCCATTTTGAAAACATGCCAGTGCATGAATGAACTTAAAAGAGAGGTAAATCTAGTTTAAGCAAGCATAAACTGAATAAAAGCTTGGATTCCCTCCTTGTTGTATATCAAGTTGTAAAATAGGATCCTGTACCCAAAAAGGCTAGTATCTCTTTATAGACAAGAGTAGCTAAATCAGAATTATATCTGGGGGCTAGTACGGAGTCATCTTCTGTGTCCGTCCTTATGACTGATTAGAGAACTGTTGGATATGTAGGCTCGTCGCTAATTCTGACAATAATTAAAGGAAGTATTTGGAAGTAAATACTACATATAATTATTATGTTAAATCTAAGTGCTAAGCTTTCCTTGGGGATGCAGTCATCACTGGTTTAATACTTTTTCTTGCTAGTGTGTGCTTAAATGAATAAATTACATTTGCTGTTTGTTTGTACTTAACCTGTTCTGTTGATTTCTATAGCAGTGTGTTATGATAGTGCCTTATACTTGAGTATTTTTCTAGACAGCAGCTGTGTAAGTGTGTTGTAAATCGTTCTTTTCCTAAACACAAGCATTCTCTCACCTTACACATATGAGATAGTTGTCTCGTTTGGTCCATGGGATGGACTGCACTTTGCTGATCAGGGTCCTTCCCCCCCACACTAACAGCATTGGTGCCTTGTCTGTTCCACAGATTTGAGCCAAATAAAGAGTTTCTGGCAGCTTCTGAAATACTTGTAAATGTCTTTTCAACTGCTTCATATTACCATTCCTTTAAACAGTTGGAGAAGGGAGCACCAAGGGCAGTGACGGTTTCAGTACTAGGTTACAGAGCAGTGAAAAGATGTTAGAGAAATATGGTGAACTTGCTTAGACCAAGCTCTCAGCTGCTGTAACTGGAAAACCTCATCTGCTCCCAAAGTCATGCTGCATATCTTTTAATAGAGGCAAGATGAGAAATTTTGCTTTCCAGACAATGGGGCATTGGGCAGCCTGGTCTGGTAGGGGGTTTCCCTGCCCATGGCAGGAGGATTGGAACTAGATGATCTTTAAGGTCCCTTCCAACCCAAACCATTCTATGACTCTATGAAAATTGCAGTTCTGTAACTCCTGCAGCTGTCCTGCAGGTTCAATCTGTGACTTGAATCTATTTCAGTTGCAGTTAGGTGCTTTGTGCTTTTGCTGTCAGGTGGTGCGTTGGGCTCTCAGAAAACGAAGGGTACTTAATTTGTGCAGTTTGAATAGGTTTGGTTGGTTTTTTGGTTGCCATTGTTTAGGAATTCAGTAGCAGAGCTTTTCCAGAGTGACATTCAGCTGCTTTAAGATCATCCTTTTAAGTAACAACACTCCTGTGTGCTGAATGAGGAGGAAGGTTTCCCAGTCAAAATAGTATGTGACTATGTAGTTGCATGGATCATAAAGCCAAAGGTGGCTAGAATATAGTATGTGGAAGAAAGCATTAATATCTAATATTTTCTTGCAGCTTCATAAATGTAAATCTTACCACATTGTCCTGCCCACACGTTTCTATTTATGAAAATCTCTGCAACAAAGACCGCAGACCTAGCACGCTTAAGTTAAAAGAAGGTTGTCAAGTGACTATAACAGAAAATTACCTTCTGCAAACCAGCTGACAGGTGGCATAAAGTACAAAATAGCGGGTTACCTGTGGCCTCTGAAGTAGCTCCATATTAAAAGCAGGGCAGTTGAACACATAGCACGCTCTTTTAGAAATTGTGGAGCAAATTGCAGGGGTGTGGGTTTCTAAACTAGCACATACCAAGTTCTCTGTGACTTGCTTTGGTGACCTATAGAGTATGAAAACTTGCTTTGTAAGAGCTTTTTTAAAATGCATAGGATTAATGCTACTTTGTTAGCAAATTTGGAGTGCTATTAATTTTCTATGTTCTCAGTGTAGTGATTGGATTGATTCCAGAGCAGCCATGTTTCTGTACATGGCTGAGAGACTGTCCTGTCATTCTGATGTGGGTGCTGCAGTGTGTCACTCAGCAACCAGACTCCCCAATGGTGAAATGTAAATATTGTGACTCTGATTAAAACGTTTTTCAGGAGCATGGGTGGCGGAGGACAGAAGACAGCCTAATGAGGCTGTAAAAGTAGCTGTTTCACATCTGTGTCACTTTATGGAGGAAACAAGAGGTGTGTTCCTTCCTTGAGATGATTTTCCTGCTAATGGTCAGAGACAGCACTAAGTAAAATAAATTCCATTTTTAGATCAGGATGAAAAGACTCTCTAATGAAAAGGTAATCCCTATGTAGACTGTATATAAATGAGAACTGCCAGTTCCTACTCTTAACAAAACATTACAAGCCTTGCATGTATCCTTTCTTCAGATCAGACTTAATTTCTGAGATTAGTAGTTTGTGCTAATTTTTACTGGCATGCGAACAACACTATTTATTTAGTTTTCAACAGGTTGTCACAGCTTTTTTTCTTAAGAAAACAAACAAACAAAACAACAACCAGTAGCAGCTGGTTTTGAGGGAACAATTTAGGTTTCTTTCATGAAATTAAAAACAAAACAAAACAACCCCAAAACCTTCTTATTTCTGGACTGCATAAAAATTGCTGGCAGGGAAAGGGAGAGGGGGCAAAAATAGGTAGAGTCCAGCAAAGACAAAAAATACACATAGTTTTAGTAAACATTGTCTTCCTTACAGAGTCAAGGCCTGTCAGTGTCACAATTTCAAACTTGTTGCGTTCATAGAAACTTGAAAAAACAAGTTTTTTTCTTGAACAGCTAAGCCTGTCGTATATTCGGTGCAGTCCCGCAAAGTGAGTATGGTATTACCAGACCCCTCAGTCTTACACAGATAAGGAAAACTAAGAATGCTCTGCTACTTCTAAACCAGGTTGCTATTTGGTTTTTACCTATGTTTTTTAAAACAGGGCTGATCACAGGGTGTAGGTAAACCTGCTGTAACTAGTCACTAGAACTAGCAACACCCTTCACAGCACAGTTTCAGCAGATCCGTGGGTCTGAAAGTGCGCCTGGATTTAGGAATGTGTTGCAAGGGGAAGCTTCTCCCTGCTGCTTGGGTGTGGAGGGAGAGGTCCAAGGCCCATCCCAGCTTCAGTCTCCTTGCAGGAAAGATGTGTTTTCCTTTTCTAAGGCTGTGTCACGAGTTGATATATTTGAGCTTTTCTTTGCATCACGGAGAATACAATTGATTCATAGGAACCTAATGTTGTTTTACACGCAGATGCTGTGGGGCTTCAGTCTGATTCTGTTAATGTGTGTTCTTCACGGGAACTGGGGTGGCCACTGTGCTTATGCCGAACTTGGTGCCCCCCATATTCACACACCTGTGTTTTTTCCCCAGCTGTAGCGTTAATCAAAGCAGCAGTGTGATAACTTCATGTCCTTGTTTTACCCAGCTGTTCGTTTGTTTGTCTTCCTATCTGGTTGTGGTGGGGTGTTTTTGGGTGGGGTGATTTTTGTGTGGTGTGGGTGGTGGGTTTTTTGGGGTGTTTTTGTGTGTGTGCAGTGAATTTTATTTTTTACTTCTAATAACAATTGAAGAATTAAAGCCCCAGGTTATGGGCAGGCTGTGCATGAGCTTTCAGGGCAGTGAATTTTCTGTGTCTTAGAAAAATCCATCTGTTTCTGAAGTTTATTTGACTCTGTACTGGGTGCATGGGTGGTTTTTTTTTCTTCTAAGGTTTCTCTCTCCTTTTAATGCTACTCCAGGTCCACAGTGCAGCAACATCTCTAGCAGCAGATCTACTAAAATACCATACGGATCATATGGTTCTCAAAGCATTAAAAATCACAGGAGTAGAGGGAAATCTTGAAGCTGTAGCAGAATATACTTGCAAGCTGTCAGAGCAGAAGGAACAACTTGTTGAGGTGAGTTCATGGCTGCTTTCATTTCCTAAGGCACTTAGAAAATTAGTGGCTGGATTTGTCATAGTTTATTCTTTGGGAAGGTTTGGGAAGGGTTTTTTTGGTGATTTTTATTTTATTTTCCTAATACAGTGTTTAATTTGTGTTGTTCTTGGTATGGCTGAGCCAGAGGGTGTCACAGTGGCTTACAGTTGTTGAAGGGATGTACAGTCTTATCCAATTCTCCTGGACCCAGACTCAAACTCGTTTAACTCTGTATTAACTCTATGTACATAGTGAGGCTAAAATACTCATTAAAAATTGATTTCTAGATCCAAGTAGAGATTATAACCTTTTTCTTTCAAGCAGTAGGAATTCAGCAACAGCTCAACCCAAAGACATGTTTTAAGAATGCTGGGAATGTAACATTAAGTTTCTTAATCCACTGAATTTGACTGTTTTAAAGATTTTTGTGTAGTTCTTGTCAGTCAGCAGAGTGCCACTGAAAATCTCTTCTCCTCCATAAAAAGCAGTGTGTATGTTTCATGTACCAATACACTGATGGTTCCTTATGGTAGTGTCCACACATACGTGAACAAACAGGACTCCCAAGGTGGCTGAGAGATTGTGGCTCTTTGGAGGAGTGCCTGTGGAGAGGATGTCTGCCACGTATGCCTTGTTGCTCTCTCGTCTCAGAGGCGAGCAGAAGTAACTGTACCAGTAGGAGATAGAAAGATCATTCAGATCTGGAACGTGGTGATGCTAGAAGCTATGCTTGCATGGCATCTACTACTCCTGCACTTCTAAAAAAATCTGATACCATATGGGGCTTTAAGGATTCATCCCATAAGTGTGAACATGTAGAAGTAACACCCTTGAACTTCCAGGACTGGCAGATCAATGCTGTGGATTTTTAATTTTGGCTTTAATGTCTCATTTTTGACTAATTAGTGTTCCAATGAGACACTGACTTTTTTCAGGCATAACCCAAATCCCATTCCTTTCGTATGTGCTGTCTCAGTCTTATAAATTTTCTTTTTGATCTGAAAACTTTGGGCTGAGAAGGAACAACAAAGTAACAGAGTTCACTCTTAATCTTACTAACAAAAAAAAGACTACATTGTGCTTACTGTGAAAGCCAACAGCATTTTTTCCCTAAATTAATTTGACACTGCTTTGCTCAAAGATAATTCAGTTCCCTGGATGATGAAAGCCTAAATTTTTCACATGGTTGCTAATTGCTGAGTAATCCTGTTATGGTGAAGTCATTTATGCTACAGTTTTTCCAAGTTCTATAGGTATCTGATTACCTTCAGGTTTATTCAGTCATAAATATGTGAAACTGTTGTTGTATTTTTATTTATTAAGACTTTACTTTTTCTTGGTGATTTTGTATGTGTGCCAAGTCAGGATTTAGCCCCGTTTTGTTGTAAATCCTCCCTGAGAGACAGGTAGCTGTGTGGTCCCCAATGTATTTCTGAAAGCACTATCAGTAACTTTCTGTTTGTGCATGTGCACCTTTTCTCACTACTAATGAAAGCATATTTTAATAAAAATATGTTTAGATGTGTCGCTTGTTGAGGCACGTTTCTGGAACCGAGCCCCTCGAGATTACTTGTATGCATGCGGAAGACACTTTTCAGGTCACTGGCCCACAGGTACGCATCGCTTTCGTCTGCCCACTTCTACAGTACATAAATGAACAAAAAATACTTGGATGAGCTTTTTGAGACCTAATGTTGAACTGTTCAGAGCAGTTCTAAGAAAGGCTTACACTTCAGTGTAGCTAAAAGAATGCAGACAAAAGATCTCCAAGCCTGGAAATGTCAGATGAATACACTGCAAAGTTACAGCAGTTGAATTTTGTGTTTTGCCTGTGGAGGCATCTGTGAACTCGCGTGCAACACTCTTTATTAGGACCTCCAATAGAACATGCTTTGTTCTCTGTCCAGATAATTTCCGCTGCAGAAACACTGGCATTACATCCCTCTAGCAAGATTGCAAAAGAAAATCTTGAGGTGTTTTGTGAGGCCTGGGAGTCTCAGCTGAGTGACATGTCTATGTTGCTAAGAGAAATCAATGACGTGTTTGAAGGAAGAAGAGGTAAGAATGCTATGTACAAATTAAAAAATGTAGTTTTCAAAAAGTAGTCTAAGAATTTTAAGTGTGATTTAGGAAAAAGAGAAGAGCACAGTAAAGAGTCCCATATCTTGTATAGTGATGTGCAATCTGGGTGGCAATACACAAATATGATGGGTTTGTATAGATGTTGAATTAGGGTGCTTACTGGGTATTTTTTTCAAAGAAAACCAACCAGAAATGTAAAAGCTTGATTCATGGATAATCAGGTATGTTTAACCTTCTACACTGATTAGTTGCAGCAATAGCAAATGAAAGTATTTGACACAACTCTGCCAGCCGTGTCCCTGTATGAGGGGTGTAGGGCTTTGATGCCACCTTTTGGTTTGTCTAGGACATGTAACAGTTCATGACAAATCAAGATATAACCTGAAGCGAGTGACATGTTTAATTTCCTGTATTTCTGGAATATATGTATATATAAATGTGTTCTATACTGTCAGCTTGCCTTGTATTCACTTCATAATGTAGTGAATGTAGTTATTTGATTTTTAAACTGCTGTCCTTTCTCCTGGATGGAATCTGACGACTCTGCACAATCTTGGGATATTTTCTCTGGTTGGTAAGTTTATTGGTATTTGTACAACATGTAGAAGAAAACCTTGGAATCTTAAAGAAAAAAAACCCACAATCTGTGTTTACTTTTACCATAGGGTAATTGACCCTAAAAATGGAAGCCATTTTCTTTTTCATTTTTGTCTAACTTAATTTTTTTTTCAGATGATGTCTTTAGTGTAGCCTGTCATACTTGTGGCTACGTGTTTGTTTGAGTCTTAAAGCTATAACTGCATAAACACAGAATGTAATATATTATAATACTGAATGTCTTGTATTTTTAAGAAAATCACTCAGGTTTAAAAGTTTAGATTTTGTGAAATACAGGGACTTTTTTTTTTTGTATCTAAGCTACAGAAAATTAAATCCTTATTCAGGTTAGATGACACTTTATGAAGGATACGATACTTCATCTTGCTATTAACATGAGACCTTTTTCCAGTTTTAGGGTTTATTTTGTCAGTTTAACTTTGTGTACTTGATTGGGTTTTTGTGTAAGCAGTTATTTTCTGCCAACTTTGTTGTGAGGACAGTAAACGACCAACCACAGGGCAGTAATATCTTAAGTTGTTGCTGCTGGCTACTAGATGAATGTGCGTCTGAGCCTGAAGACTTGTAAAAGGAAAATATACATTGAAATTCTGAGTGGGTTTACAATAACTGTGTGTAGCACAGGTTATTGGGAATTTGAGGCATTTGAGAAACACATGATTGTTACCCTACTTGTTCTTCCACCTTGGTCTGGAATGCCATATAAAGATGTGTAGCAATCAGAGCTCCTGTTTATGGGCCTTTTAACTTTCAGTGAGCTGTTTTTGTTTGTTTTGGGAGCCAAAGGCATACTGACACTTTTTAAACGCAGCATTAAATTTTATATAATGCAACTTAAAATGTGGTATTACTCTAGTATCTCTGTTACAAAAACTTTGGCTTTTGCAGGGCTGATAATGCAGTTTTGTTTTTTTTTAATATTCAGACTATGGTCTAGCAGGGTTAAACAATAAGACTTATATATACCTATGTGTGTGTGTGTGTGTATACATACATATATATTACTGTATTTTAAAATAATAGGATGAGAATCATGCAGCCACAGCAAAGCATAAACTTGGCTCTCCAAACAAATAGTTCTCAAAGTGTTGCGACACATTCCCAGCCTCTCCTGTAGTCAGGAACTTTCCCTTCTCTTGTGGCTGCTGACAGCAGATAACAGACATTTTCCGCATGTGGTACTTCCCAGTTTCTTCAAAGCATCATTTTGCAAGGCAGCCCAGTGTCAGTGCTTGCAGGAGAGAGAAGAAACTGGGTAGGTGTTGCTGAGCATGTTGGAGGCTGTAGCACGTGTGGGCCTGGGTGCAGTGAAGAGTCTCTTCTCCTTTTTGGCGTAGCCAGATGAGTCTCTTCTTGTTTTTGTCTCGTTTCCCTGGCCTTCCTTCAGCTTAAGGTGTTCTGATAACACCATTGGTAAGATAGTAGGGGTAGCCTTGTGTCCTTATATGGCCTTGAGTACGTGAGGTCTTACATTGCCAAAACGATGCTTAAGAAATCACATCTCTTGTCATGTGGCGCAGCCCAGTAAGGGACCTGTCTGCATCTCCGTTGTTTCTTAACTTCTGAGGTGATAACAGTTAATATTTCGTCTCCTACATTCACCCATCTTCTACAGAGTTTTCTTCTCTGTTGTGGGCTAATGTTTTTGTTTGCTTGTTTTCTCTTGCTGGACTTCAGAGTGACTCTTGTCCAAAAAAAACCAAACCCACCCAGAACGAAAAACCTCACCCAAATACCCCACCTTTTGCTTCCAGAAAATACCCCGAAGTTACCTTGCCACTTCCGCCATTTTTCTCTCCTAGAAAACACGACAGCTAAATATTTTAGTTCAATTTATTTATTGGGTTGTTCGCTGAGAAATATGACAGGTGGCATTCACAAAACTCTTGCCTCCAAACACAGTGACGTTTCAAAATTATTTTATAGGATTTTATTCTTCTCGTGACTCATGATAAGTTGTCTTAATGCTGAGGTTGCTAAAAGTGTCTTTATTTTACAGACTAAAACGTAACAAGTGCTTTATTCCTAGTAGAATTGTGATCGTGTGTAACAAGAGATAGAATTATAGTAAGAAGGTATATATTTTTTTTCTCCTCAGTTTAAAAACTTGTATTTTTGTACTACCAATCTACCAATTTAAATGTTTGGCTTTGTTAGAGAGTTCAGAATACAGCTTAAAAGGTAAAAATTGAATGGTGACTAAATGTGCTGGACACATCTAATAAAATAAGCATTTTTCTGATTACGCTTGATTCACATTGTTCATACTCATTTTCTTATTTTATTATGCAGTTGCATAACTCCATATCCAGTGTTTCTTGCAAATTGGGTACTTCTGATACTGAGGTTCAAAAGTCTCAGGGGATGGAGAGCCAGATTTAGCTTGGGAACGAAGCAGTATTTTACTCAGTTTTAATGTAACCACACAAGGTGATGCCCAAATAGAAGTGGTCTCATCTTGGGGAAGGGGGTGCAGACCCACGCAGGGGTGGGGGAGGTTGGAGAACACAAGGCAGCCCAGTAACCCTCGCGTGTATTTGGAAAATGTCTGTGCTGTGCAGAGTTGTGCAGTGAGGCAGTGCTGGAGTTCTTTTGCTTGATCCTGAAATACTTGTTAATCCAAGGGTGAGGAGGCCCACTCTGCACCATGCTGGTGTTGGGAGCGTTGCGCGGCCAGTGCAGACTGAGGAGAGGACTGCTCTCTGCCGACGGTGCGGCAAAGAGAGCCAAGAGCTGCTGCTTTAAGCAAGATAGTTAACTTTGAGGCTCTTGCATTGCCTCATCTTGCCTGGATGCAACCTGGTCTAGTGGAAGGTGTCCCTGCCCATGGCAGGGGGGTTGGAACTAGGTGGCCTTTAAGGTCCCCTTCAACCCAAACCACTCCGAGATTGATTCTAGCTTTTGAGATTAATCACCTCATGAAACTCCCTTTCATTGATCCAATCTGTCAGGGGTCAGCCAGTCTCCATTTTTCCTTCTAACTTTTTGGTCTCTGCATGTTGGGGAAGAAGGTGAATAATCCCCTGGTTGCTTCCCTGTAACTTGGTCAGAAGTGAGAGAATAATTTATGAAGATAACTTCCTTTTATTCCCTCTTTTGTTTTGCCCACTTAATTTATGAGGAGTGAAATGGCCACGAGGACTTGGGAGTGTTGTAGTTGATGAATAGGGGACGTGGATCAGAATTTCAGAATCTAGGAATTGGAGTTGTAGAAAGAAGGGTGAAGCAGGGGTGCAGCTGTCCTCCTCTCACATAAAAGCGAGATCAAAAGCTGGATTTAGAAGTTGATGTAGAGACATTTTGAAGGGAAAAACATGGCTGGAACTACTAGAAAGTGGCAAACTGGAGTACGAAGGATGAAATAATAAAAATTAATTTTAAATTAAAAAAAAAAAAAAACCAAAACAGAAACATGTTAGAGAAAACACTAGGAAAACCAAAGCCAGGCTGGAATAAATAAAAGTAAGATCATAATATGGCAAAAAAATGTTCTGCTATTTTAGCAAAGATCTGACTTACAAACTAAGGGAATTAAATACCTGAAAAATATAATGTGTCTTCTGTCAATGGAATCAAATATAAATTCTGTGATTATACTGATGTAATTAAGTATTTTCTGATGAAGTAGGATTATCTCTGGCCTGAGCTGATCTGCGCTTTTGAAAGGTCTGGTGTCTGTGGCCCAGCGAGGTGGGTTTTGTGCGTGTGTTTTGTTCTTTTTTTTTTTAAATGTTCCAAGAAATAAATAGTGAGATCCTTCATCTTTCTGAATATGGTGAGCAGCTAAACCTTGCAAAGCCAAGTAATGGGAACAGCTTGAAGAGCAAAACCAAATTATTTTTTCTTCTTGTTTCTGTTTGCCACCCCTTTCCATTTGGTTTCCATGCTTCTGAATGCCCATCTTGTAGTATGCGTGTCCTCTCAGGATGTATTTGTAGTCCATTTGTTATGTCGAAGCTTTCAGTGTTTTGAACATGGTTACAACAGGTTTTTGCATAGCACCAAGGAGATCTTTTATGCTACAGCACTTTGAACTTAAAAGTTAGCTTTTGTTCTTCGTTCCTCTTACATGCCCTTTAGCTGACGTGTTGATATTTAGGATGTTGGAAATCACTTCCCGTAATTTGTGTCAGGCTTTAGTGAGAAATGCTGCTTGGATTCATGTTTGGGCCATTAATAGCTGAATAACTCTGCATTCTGAAAGAAATAGTTAAGCTGTTTGTGCCCCAATAGCTCGTTTCATCTTTCGCAAAATGGGTTAGGAAAAGAAAGGGGTGATCTTAGAAGGGAAGAATCCCATTTTTCATACTTACCAAGAGTGGTGACGGACACTTGTCAGCTTACTGAAATATTCTTTTAAGGAGTCAGTTGCCCAGACATGGAGCTCCTGCTCTTTCCGTGGTGTCAGGAGATAAAGAGCATACTTTCAGAAAATGATGAGCGCGCAAGAGAACCATCTTCCGAGGACCCTGAGCAGGATTTCTCTAGGCGCTGATCCAAGAGGAGGAAAACAGTGGTTGTAGGGGGGTTTGTTGATTGTCCGTTGTCTGTTGAGATGCATCATCTGTGTGCAAACATGGTACCATATCCATTATAGCCTTTTGTTTCTTCAGGTAAAATCTATTTTTCACCAGCTCTTAAGTTTGTTTATTTTATCTAGCAGACTACCCTCTCCTGAATGTGTTGTAATAAATATGTCTTCATAGAGAACTAAGTCTTCTGGTGCCTGGAGCTCTCATCCTAGGCTGTTAGCCCAGGCACTGTTTCCTCCTGCTGATAAACTCGTCTCTTGCACTTTTAGCTAACGCCTAAAAGGATTGGGTTTTTGCCCTTCCATTTGTTTTTCTCAGACTTGGAATATCTGAGGCTCCTGGGGATATAAGAAATAACGCAGCATGTAAAACGCTGCAGAACTTTTTCCTTTATAAAATACGGGGCACGTGGGGTATGTATAGTGCAGCACAACATGAGGGCATTACTTGGGAAAACCTCCCCAGGTGTTTCTCACTAGTGGCATTGCTGGCTCCAAACTTCATACCATCCAACCCATGCCAACATGGAGCTACCCTTGGGTGTTCCGTACTTTCCAACCAAATGAGTGCATGTAGCGATAGGCGCTCCATCATGGGAGAGCCTTTCCCTCCTCGCTTGCGGACTGCATGCAGGGGACTAGAAATCTTCCTGAGGGAAACAGTTCAGAGGCAATCCTCTGTAGTATGCAGAGAGGAGGAATTGCAGGTAAGTAACTTTTGCTTTTATAGTGCTGTAACTGAAGGAAGGATGAAGTAAGGCATTTGATCCCACTGATTTTAAAACCTGCATACAAATTTTGGTGTAAATGTGTGTGTTCTTCATAGGAGAGAAGCGTATCTACCTGTCACTGCCCAGACCGGGGGTAAGTTGCTCTTGGGATTGTTCTATTTACTCCGTATCTGCTGTTAACTGACTTCTTTCCATGTTACTACGCTTGATGAGGACATAGCAATACGTTGGTAACGTGCATCCCTGGCTGGGTGGCTGGCAGCAAAATGTCAAACTTTTTGCCAGTTCAGTAAGTGAACAACCAACATATCGAAAACTGGGGTGGCTAGTTACATAATATGATTTAATCACTTTGATTGTGAGCTTTAATTCCTGGTCATTAATAAGACATTTTTTTTTACCATGTACTCCACTGTCATGCTATATAATAAAAAATGCATTGTTACTATTTAAACTAAGAATATGTTACAAGATGCTGAAAATAAGTCTTTGTAATCTGATGATGATTTTTTTTATGTTGTTGACAGAGTTGACCTATTTGGAACAAATGGATGTGTTAGATTCTATTCTAGGCTCTTCAAATAACTGGTTCTTGTTTCTTCCTTTTGATCTACAATGTTCTTAATGCAGAGAAAAAAGCCACACCAAACGTCCAGGTTTAGCTGTGATGTAGTTAATATCCTTAGCTGATTATCACTGATACCACATTATTTCTGAGAGCATCTCTGTGTTAGAAACACCTCTAAACCCTGTTGGTATCGTGTAATCAGTTGCTTGATTCACATGCTACATCTTTTTATCGGTAGGAGGAAGGGGAAGAATGATCTCAGAAGGTACAGTAAGCTCTAGCCTGTTTCCTCATTTTCTTTCCTTAACCTGTAGCGTTGAGGAATTTGGGGGAGAAATAATCGCCCATCTCCCTGTCTCCTGTTGTGCAGTTCTGTGACGTCAAACACGACTCACTACTTCAGAGCC